ATTTCCAATTGCTGCCAGATAATAAGGCAAGTATGAGTGTTGTTTTAATTTCATGTGTATTTACACTAGAAAACTTTGGATTCACCAGTCCGAGAGTGGCAGCCGGTGTCAAAGAGCGTCTGATAACAGAATGTACAAAAATAATCAACATAAACAATGCACAGCACCAGCAGCAGCACCATGCACCAGCACCAGCAGCAGCCTCCACAGGTATTTCATTTTTATTTGATTCTGAATAAGGCATGACTAGTGACATTTCTGGTGATGTTGATCTTCAATATTTTTCAGGCGTTGACCTGTGGAGACTTTTGGATCAAGATGCACACAGAGCCAGGCACATGCAAAGCGCCACAGCTAATGCAGTTGTGGAAGTGAACCGATACCTGGCTGATCCTCCCCTGGAAAGAACTGATGACCCCCTCACATACTGAGCCACCCATAAAACTGTTTACCCAAACCTCTATAAATTAGCTAAGTATTTCCTGTGTACCCCAGCCTCATCTGTGCCATGTGAACAGGTTTTTTCTAAGGCTGGGGAAATAGCCTGTAAAAGGAGAAACCACTTCTGTCCGAACACTGGGGAGTTACTGTGATTTCTCAATAAAAACTCATAAACAGTTACACAAGCACATCCACTGCCCTGTTCTACAAATGACATCTGTCTGAGTCTGTAGAGCACATCTCATGAATGTAGCAGCACCATTTAAATGTTTTCATAACACAAAATATAAGTGAGGAGCATATAGGGTTACAGTCAGACGTGCCACATAAGGAACATGGTCTTCAACATGTGTCCATGTTTATTTTATATTTTATTGTGTCAGCTTGAAACCATACAACCATGTAGTGTAGTCGAACAGGAATGTGCATGGTGAATCAAATCCCAAACAATCCATGAACCAATAAGCGACACGTCTCGACTGCACTTCATTTTCTTGACCACTAGATGTCCTACTCGAGCACTGTGTCATTGAGTAATGAGTAATAAACCGTTTTTGTGAATACTGTGTCGAAGCTCCAACAAAGCCTCGTTTACCCATCACTACTTGCAGTCAGTGGAGAGCTATTGCACCGCCTGTCTCCAAAAGTGCTGGTACCCCTCTTGTATTTTTAGTTTATTTTTTTGGTTCCGGTTGACGTTTCTGTGTAGTATGGGGCTAGCCCAACCGAGGTTTTATAATGTATAGGCCAATTGTGGTTCAGCGTCTTTCATCTTACAACTGCCTACGAGCACTTGGAGGTGCAAGATATCTGAGCGTGTAATGTTAATTTTACCTGTGATTCTTTGAATAAATCAGCACTGTTTTGAAGTTACTTGGACTGCCTCGTCTCTCACAGTTAGCATGTCAGCAAGAACTGGGTCCTACAATGTTATCTAGAAAGGAAACTGGCTAAGCCATGGCTGCTATCTGTGCTAACGTCAGTTAATATCAGCTGGAGACGGCAGCTAACTGTTGCTAACCAGACTAGCGAAGATGCTAGAGTGTTGGTAGTGACTTTTCAATTTATTCTCTCTAATAAGCCTCGCACTTTATGTTATATAAAGTATCTTCTACCTTCTACTTGTGTCAAGGTTTGCAGCAAACAGTTTCTTTTGTTAATTTACTTGGATTTTACAGAAAGTGGGGCGTATGGTGAGTTAGCCCAGCAAGCTAGTAGCTAGTTAGATGGGTGGAGCGATTAATTTATTATAACGCTTAGTTGTTTCGCTTAGATATAGGCACAAGCAAAAATTGGCTATCTAAATGGGAGCACCAACAGAGACGTATGTTTTGGCCGATTTAATGAAATCAAATAAATGGAAAACCACTCTCTTGGTAGCCTTGGTGTAATTAAAGCAACATTTGCTGACTGAATATCCGATTGTTATTGTATTATGCTGAAGCACTATACTGCAGCATAAATCACTTGATGTAGTCCAAGGTGTACTGCTCCGATGTATCATATCTCAGAACATGTAGTCCTGTTACAGTTAATAGGACAGATTTGTTCAACAGACATAACCCCTCAAGTGTTAATTTATGCCAAATTTGGATTTAGGAGCTTACTAAAGAGGAAGCTTTGTTACATTTGTCTAATAAATATAGTATTAAAGTAGGGTAGAAAAAGAAATGTTATGATGTTCTAAATTGTTATGGTTACTTGATGGGTGTGGAGCTTCGAGTCTGCGCTGGAGGTCCTGCGGAAGGTCCTACAGAGAATAGCAGAGGCAGGTCTGAGGCTTCACCCTGATAAGTGCTGTTTCATGAGGAGAGAGCTGGGGTTTTTGGGGCACCGGATTGGGGCGGCGGGGATC